ATTGGAACTCAATCAATCACTATAGGATATTGGAAGTCAATCAATCAATATCTGGGGTTGATTGATAATTAATCAATCAGAAATTATCAATGAGAATGGAAGGATTAATTAACAAATCAATTAATTAATGAATCAATTAATGGATCAATCAATTAATAAATTTATATCACTATAGGAATTAATAAATGATTGTTGATCAATTAATAATCAATGAATATCGATCAATCAATAGGAAATTCGAAATAAGAATGGATTAATTAGTAATCAATAAATAATAAATTAACAAATTAATACATTATTAAAGATCAATTAATTAGATAAAATCTGATAATTAATATTGAGATTTGATTAATTAATTTTATTGAATGGATATTTGATATTGATTAATCATTGAAATATTGATGAAATATTAATAATTAATAATCACTGGTAATTAATATTGATTTTTATTGATTAATTTGATTAAATAGATCATTAATAACAATTAAACCGATAATTACTAGCAATTTAAAATGGGAATAAATGGAGATATTAATTATTGATTACATATGAAAATCCGATCATGAATATTGATATTTGATTATTATAATTAATCAATAATTAATATTTATTAATAACGGAATTAATTGGAGATGCTAAATATTAAAATCCAATAATGAATATTGGTAATAAATTATGATACTTAATGGATATTTAATGCTGATTAATTACGGATGTAAATGAAGATACTAAATATTAATTAGTGTGGAATTAATTAGATTAAAATATTAATAATATTAAATTAATTAATGATGCTGTTAATACATTCATATTAATAAATATTAAATTGATAACATAATAATATAATACGCAATAAATTAAATAGATAAATTAAATATTAATGAATATTTAGTCTCTAATTTGCATACATTAGCATAAGTGAGAGACATTTTAACTTTTAATTATCAATTATCAATATTGAATAATGATTAATCCAATCTTTAATCTATTAATTGGATGTTGATAGGAATAATTGGATGGAATATAGAAATTCATTATTAATTAATATTCAATCTCTAATTTGCATACATTTACCTGGCCACAAACTGTATTAAATATTAATTATCGATATTAAATATTGATTAATCTGATATTGGATCTATGAATCGATTATTAAATATTGATAGGAGAAAATGGTTGGATTAGGGAAAGAAATTAAATATTCATGAATATGCAATCTCTAATTTGCATACATTTGCATCACTGAAAGACATCAAATATTAATTATCAATATTAATTATTGATTAATCCGATATTAAATCTATCAGCGGGCAATTAAATATTGATAGGAATTAATTGATGCTTTAGATAGGGAAATTAAATATGCATATTCAAGCGCAAATTTGCATATATTTGCATAGATGTGAGACCAATAATATCTTAATTATCAATATTTAATATCAATTATTAATTATTGACTAATCAGATATTTAATGAATGTATCAAAATCAGCTCATGTATGAAATATGGAAATTTAATATTTGTGGATGATTTGCATACATTTACATACTCATTAAATATACCAACAACTATTTCTATTAAAAATCAATATCAAGTAATTATTAATCCAATACTGACTCTAATAGTCCAAGATTAAATATTAATAGGTATAAAATTATGTAATAGACATGGACATTAAATATTCATGAGTATGCCTTATCTAATTTGCATACATTTACATAGACAGAATTTATTAGACATTAATGATCGATGTTAAATATTGATTAATCTGAGAATGAATCGATTATTAAATATTAATAGGGAAAAATCGCTGGATTCGATAAAGAAGTTAAATATTCATGAGTATTACATTTTGAATTTGCATATATTTACATAGATGTGAAATTTCCTAAATATTAATTATCAATATTGAATATTGATTAATCTGATCTTCAAGATGTTAAATATTAAAGAATTAATGAAAATAATTGATTTAATTATGGAAATTGGCTATTAATGAATATTCAGTTTCTAATTTGCATAAATTTACATAGGCACAAAATCTATTAGATATTAATTATCGAGATTAATTATCGATTAATCTTCAGGAAATTAATCTGATTGAAAATATTGATGAGAATTAAAGATTCATTCAATATTCCACAGCGAATTTGCATATATTTGCATATGTGTGGAATATATTAAACATCGCTTCTCGAGTATAAATATTGATTTTAAATATTAATTAATCAGAAATTGATTGGCGCAAGTCGATTAATTAAAGAAATACTAATTAAAATTCAAGCTGGAAATGGAATATTAATGATTAACGAATATTAATGAGCTGGGACATAATTTGAATATTAATTAGCATTTAAAATATCGATATTAAGTATTGACTTACCTGATTATAATAAAATGGGCTTAATTAATTTATTAGAAACTAATTTAGATATTAACTAAATAGAAATATAATTAATAAAAAATTAAGATTATAATTGTTTAATTAAATAATGGAAATTAATTGGATTTATGCAAATTATTAATTAAACACTAGTGGAATTGATAGAAATTACATGGAATAAAGGTAATTGATAGAAATTAAGATTCATTATGGTGAATATTAATTAAATAAGAATGGAATTAATAGGAAACATCTAAAATTGGAATTATTTAATTAAGTAATTAATTTAAAAAATATTAATGAAATGTAAATAAAATGGATGTAAATTGTATTAAAATTAATTATTAATTAATCATAATTATGGCTAGTAATTAAATAGAAATAAAATTAATTAAAATTAATTAAAATTAAAATTTTTAATTAAATCATATTGATTATTAATAATTATTCTGAATATTAATTAATAAATTTGCATTTTAAATGAATTGCTTAATTAAATACTATTAATTAACAGTAATTAGAGTGAATATTGATTGAATAGAAATGGGATTAATCGAAATTACATTAAAATCCAATTATTTAATTAATAATAATCATTATTTGTAATTATTTAATGAATTTATATTGATTAGTAATACTTATTAATTAATAACTAATGATAATAAATAATAATTAATTGATTAATAAAAAGGACAGGACCCGAGGGAAATGGAGCAGAAAATTCCAATTAATTGAATTAATAATCTTTATTAATTGCAATTAATTACTGTAATGAATTGGAAATAAAATTGGAATTAATTGGGAATAGAATTGAGAATAATTGGAAATAAAATTCGTAATTAACTGGGAATAAAATTTGAGATTTATTAGGAATAAAATTACAATTTATTGGGAATAAAATCTTTAATTAACTGGGATTAAAACTGGAAGTAATTGGGAATAAGATTGAAAGCGTGAAATCAAAAGAAATGAAGAGGTAATGGAAAAGGAATTAGGAATTAGTGACAAGTGAATCCGAGTTGGAAATGGACGTGGCACAGAAGGGGCAGTTCCATCAGGGCATTAATGAAGTACGGGGAGCTCAGCGGGGAGCAACACGCAGCGAGGGCTGCGTGTGCAAACCAGCGCGCGAGGACGGCGTCACGCAAATGAGCGCGCGCGAATATCTGACTTCTGGGGACATTGGGATTTGATAGGAAATAAATCGAAATTCAATGGGAATTAATTGGAATTTCAGTTGGAATTAAGTAGGAAATAAAATGGGAAATTAATTAGAAATTTATTAGAAATTAAAGGGAAATTAAATGGGAATGAATTAGAAATAAATTGAAATTAAATGGAAATTAGAAATTAAATGGGAATTAAATGGGAATTAATTAGAAATTAAATGGGAATTAAATGGGAATAAAATAGGAAAATTAATGGAAGTTAAATGGGAATTAATTAGGAACAAAATGGGAATTAATTAGAAATAAATAGGAAATAAAATGGGAATTAATTAAATGGGAATTAAATCAAAATTAAATAGATATAACATAGGAATTAAATGGGAATAAATTAGGATTAAATAAGGAATAAATTCAGAATAAAATAGAAAATAAATGAAAATAAATTAGGAATAAATTCAGAATTAATTAGGAAAAAATTAGGAAAAAAATTGGAAATAAATGAGAATGAATTAGGAAAAAATTAGGAATGAATTCGGAATAAAATGGGAAATAAATGGGAATAAGTGGGAAATAACTTCAGAATAAATTCAGAATAAAATGGGAAACAAATGGAAAAGAAATGGGAACAATTAGGAATAAAATAGGAAACAAATGGGAAATAAACGGGAAGTAAATGGGGATAAATTTGGGGATTTTGTTTTGGAATTTCTGGGAATTTCTCAATTTTTTCCCCAATTTTCCCCCCCAAAAAATCTCAATTTTTCCCCAAATTTCCCCCAGTTTTTCCCCAACTTTCCCCCAAAAAATCTCAATTTTTTCCCCAATTTTCCTCCAGAAAATCCAAATTTTTTCCCCAATTTTACCCTGATTTTCCCCCGATTTTCCCCCCAAAAACTCAAATTTTTCCACAATTTTCCTTCAAAAAAATCACAATTTTCCCACAATTTTCCCCCCCAAAATTACAAATTTTCCCCAAAAAATTCTCTCAATTTTCCTCCAATTTTTTCCCCATTTTCCCCCAATTTTTCCCCAATTTCCCCCAATTTTTCCCTAATTTTCCCCCAATTTTTGTCCCAAAAAACTCAATTTTCCCCCCAATTTTTTGCCGAAAAATCTCAATTTTTCCACAATTTCCCCCCAAAATTCCCAAATTTTCCCCAATCATTCTCATTTCTTCCCCAATTCTTTGTCAAGAAATCTCAATCTTTTTCCCCAATCCCCCAATTCCCCCCAATTCCCCCCAATCCCCAATCAATCCCCAATCCCCAATCAATCCCCAATCAATCCCCAATCAATCCCCAATCAATCCCCAATCAATCCCCAATCAATCCCCAATCAATCCCCAATCAATCCCCAATCAATCCCCAATCAATCCCCAATCAATCCCCAACCCAATCCCCAATCCCGTACGTTTTTGCCCCAACCCCCACTTTGTGCCCCATCCCCAGGTGTACGCTCCGTCCGCCAGCCCGGCCGAGTTCAGCCGCGACTCGGCCGCCTTCGCCTCCAAGGGCGGCGCCGCCTTCCCCGGCTCCTTCTTCATGCCAGGTCAGCGCGTCCGGCGCGTCCCCCGACGTTCGGGGCTGCGCGGAAATGGGAAAATGGGTCCGAACATGGCGACTCTAGGAGCAAAACTGCGCAAAAATGTGAATTTTACAGCACTTTTTTCTCCAAAAATTGGAATTTTCTGAGAAAATTTTCTGGAAAATTCTGGATTTTGGGGACAATTCCCTAAAAAATCAGAATTTTTGGATGAGATTTTCTAAAAAAATGTGAAGTTTAGGACGAATTTTTCAAAAAAATTCTGAATTTTTGGACCAAAATTCCTGAAAATTTCAGAATTTTGGGACCAAATTTCCTGAAAAATTATGAATTTTGGGATTAATTTCATGAAAATTTCTGATTTTTGGGGCTGATTTTCCTAAAAACCCCAAATTTTGGGGTCAATTTTACAAAAAAGTCTGAATTTTTGGATCATTTTTCTTGAAAAATTTCAGAATTTTACGACCAATTTTTCAAAAAATTTCTGAATTTTGGGATTAAAATCCCTGAAAATTTCCGAATTTTCAGAACAAAATTTCCTCCAAAATTCCCAGATTTTGGGTGAAAAAAATCCCAGAAATTTCCCATCTTTTGTGTTCAAATTTCCTCCAAAATGCCAAAATTTTCAGATAAAAATTCTCATAAAATTCTGAAATTTCAGGCTAAAAATTCCCCAAAAATTCCCAAATTTTGGGGTGACAATTCTCCAAAAATTCCAAATTTTGCAGTAAAAATTCCCCAAAAATTCCCGAATTTTGAGACCAAGTTGACAAAAAAATTCCCAAATTTTGACATTAAAAATCCCCAAAAATTCAAAATTTTGACCAAAAATCCAAAATTTTTACATTAAAAATCCCCCCAAAATTGGAATTTTTTGTCTGAAAAATCCCAAATTTTTACCATTAAAAATCTCCAAAAATTTTGAATTTTTCACCAGAAAATCCCAAATTTGACCTTTAAAAATCCCCCAATAATTCAAATTTTAGACTGAAAAATTGCCAAAAACTCCCAAATTTTACCATTAAAAATCCCCCCAAAAATTCAAATTTTTGACAGAAAAACCGCCAAAAATTTTGAATTTTTGATGAAAAAATCTGAGTTTTTGGCCATAAAATTCCCAATTTTTGACCAAAAAATTCCCAACTTTTGACATTAAAAATTCAAACTTTTTCACCCAAAAATCCCAAATTTTTACATTAAAAATCCCCAAGAAAATCCCAATTTTAGACCAAAAAATCACCAAAAAATTCGAATTTTTTGACCGAAAGTCGCGAATTTTTGGCTGTAAAATCCCCATTTTTTGAGGAAAACCCCCCAAATTTTCGACATAATTAAATATTAAAATTACTGAATGAATAATGAGATTAATTTGCATATTGTTGTTGCAGATGGGCAGCACAGCAGCGAGCCCTGGAGCTCCTCCAGCGGGATGAGCCCGGCTGGGATTTTTTCCAGGATTTTCTTGGGAAATTCCCAAATTTTGGGGTCCAATTTCCCGGAAAAAATCCCAAATTTTGGGGTAAAAATTCCCCACTTTTAGTCTAAAAATTCCAAAAAAAATCCCAAATTTTAAGCTAAAAATTCCCAAAAAATTCCAAATTTTGGAGTAAAAATTCCATGAAAATTCACAAATTTTGAGACCAAAGTTCCAAAAAAAATCCAAAAAAATCCTAAATTTTGACATTAAAAATCTTTTAAAAAATCAAATTTTTGACCAAAATATCCCAAATTTTGCTATTAAAAATCCCCTAAAAAATTGAATTTCTCACAAAAACACCCGAATTTTGCCATTAAAAATATCCCAAGAATTGGAGTTTTTCACCAAAAAAATCCCAAATTTTTACCATTAAAAATCCTCAAAAAAATTCAAATTTTAGACTGAAGAATTGCCAAAAAATCCCAAATTTTGACCAAAAAAATCCCAAATTTTTACCATTAAAAATCCTCAAAAAAATTCAAATTTTAGACTGAAGAATTGCCAAAAAATCCCAAATTTTGACCAAAAAAATCCCAAATTTCATATTAAAAATAAAAAAAAATACTAATTTTTGCCCAAAAAAGTCAAAATTTTTACATTAAAAATTTGAATTTTTTGACCCAAAAATCTCAAATTTTTGCTTTAAAAATCCAAATTTTTGGCGGAAAAATCTCCAAAATTTGAAATTTTTTGACCGAAAATCACAAATTTTTGGCCGTAAAATCCCCAATTTTGGACCAAAAAAATCCCAAATTTTTACGTTAAAAACTCGCATTTTTTGACCAAAAAATCCCAATTTTTAACGTCAAAAATCACCCAAGAAATTTGAATTTTTAATGGCAAAGTCACGCAAACATTGGAATTTTTGGACCGGAAAGGCGGATTTCTGGCCGCGAGCTGCCCGTTCCTTGAGGAAGAGCCCTGCAGTTTGCGGCAGCAGGAAATACCGAGTGCGGGATGAATGAATGAGCTGACTCGGCGCGTTCTCCTTGCAGATGGGCAGCACAGCGGCGAGCCCTGGAGCTCCTCCAGCGCCATGAGCCAGGCCGGCTTCCCGGGGATGCTGGGCAGCTCCGCGCACGCGCCCCTGGGCCAGGCCGGCGCCTACTGCGGCCTGCACCCCCACGAGCGCCTGGTCAGTGCCCCGCGTGCCCCAGCCAGCCCCGCAGCGGCCCCAGACACTCGCCAAGAGGCCCAGAAAAATCCCCCGAAAACTCCGTCCTTTTCCCAAAAAATCGGATTTTTTCCACCAAAAAATTCAATTTTTTTTCCCATTTTTTGCCACTTTTTACTCCAATTTCCTCCAAATTTTTTCCCAATTTTCCCCCATTTTTTCCCAAAAAAATCCAATTTTTTGCCGTTTTTTCCCATTTTTTTGCCGTTTTTCCCCCAATTTTTCCCCCAAAAATTCCAATTTTTTTGTGATTTTTTCCCCAATTTTTCCCTATTTTTGCCCAATTTTCCCCCAATTTTTTCCCAATTTTTACCCATTTGTCTCCCAATTTTTCCCCAAAAAAATCCAATTTTTTGCCATTTTTGGGGCATTTTTTCCCCTATTTTTCCCCCATTTTTTCCCTACTTTTCCCCAATTTTTCCCATTTTTTCCCCCCCCGAAAACTCCATTGTTTTCCCCAAAAAATCGGATTTTTTCCACCAAAAAATTCAATTTTTTTTCCCATTTTTTGCCACTTTTTACTCCAATTTCCTCCAAATTTTTTCCCAATTTTCCCCCATTTTTTCCCAAAAAAATCCAATTTTTTGCCGTTTTTTCCCATTTTTTTGCCGTTTTTCCCCCAATTTTTCCCCCAACTCCATTTTTCCCATTTTTATTTTTTCCCCAATTTTTCCCTATTTTTGCCCAATTTTCCCCCAATTTTTTCCCAATTTTTACCCATTTGTCTCCCAATTTTTCCCCAAAAAAATCCAATTTTTTGCCATTTTTGGGGCATTTTTTCCCCTATTTTTCCCCCATTTTTTCCCTACTTTTCCCCAATTTTTCCCATTTTTTCCCATTTTTTCCCCACATTTTCCCCATTTTTCATCCAATTTCCTCCAAATTTTCAGGAATTTTTTTCCCAATTTTTCCCCAATTTACCCCCAATTTTTCTTCTAATTTTCCCAATTTTTCCACAAATGAAATCCATTTTTTCCCCATTTTTTGTCAGATTTTCTTCAAATTTTCCCCATTTTTTCCCATTTTTTCACCCAATTTCCTCCAATTTTTTTTCCCAATTTTCCCCCCCCAAAATTCCATTTTTTTCTCAAAAAAAATTCAATTTTTTCCCCTTTTTTGGTCCGATTTTTCCCATATTTTCCCCAATTTTTCCCCAATTTTCCCCCAATTTTTCCCCCCCAAAATTCCATTTTTTTCTCAAAAAAAATTCAATTTTTTCCCCTTTTTTGGTCCGATTTTTCCCATATTTTCCCCAATTTTTCCCCAATTTTCCCCCAATTTTTCCCCTATTTCCCCCCAATTGTCCCCAAAAAATACAATTTTTTTTGCCAAAAAATTGAAGGTTTTTTTTTAAAAATCCAATTTTTTCCCCATTTTTCGTCTGATTTTGTTCAAATTTTCTCCCAATTTTTCCCAATTTCCCCCCAATTTTTCCCCAATTCTTCGAAATTTTCCCCAATTTTTCTGCCAAAAATCCAATTTTTTCCCCATTTTTCGTCTGATTTTGTTCAAATTTTCTCCCAATTTTTCCCAATTTCCCCCCAATTTTTCCCCAATTCTTCGAAATTTTCCCCAATTTTTCTGCCAAAAATCCAATTTTTTGCTCCAAAAAAATCCAGTTTTTTCCACATTTTTTGTCTGATTTTTTCCATTTTTTCCCCGTTTTTCGTCTGATTTTCTCCAAATTTTCTACAAATTTTCCCCAATTTCCCCCAATTTTTCCCCATTTTTTCCAATTTTTCTCCCTAAAAAATCCAATTTTTTCTCCATAAAATTCTTTTTTTCTCAAAAATGTTCAATTCTTTCCTCATTTTTTCCCCATATTTTCCCCATTTTTCCTCCATTTTTCCCCAATTTTCCCCCAATTTTTCCCCCATTTTTTCCAATTTTCCCCCAAAAATTAAATTTTTTTCTCAAAAAAATCTGATTTTTTCCTCATTTTTTCCCCAATTTTTCCCCCTATTTTTCCCATTTTTTGTCAGATTTTCTCCAAATTTTTTTCATATTTTCCCCATTTTTGCCCGATTTTCTCCAAGTTTTTTGCTAATTTTCCCCAATTTTTTTCCTAATTTTTCCCTATTTTTTTCCTAATTTTTCCTAATTTTTCCCTATTTTTTCCTAATTTTTCAGAACTTTTTCTCGTTTTTTCCCTAATTTTCCCCATTTTTTCTCCAATTTCTCACCAATATTTCCCCTATTTTTTGCTATTTTTTCTCAATATTTCTTCTTTTTTCCCTCATTTTTTCCCTGATTTTTTCCCAATTTTTTCCCTAATTTTTCCCTATTTCCCCCCTAATTTTCTTCCCCAATTTTTTTCTAATTTTCTCATTTTTTCCCAGTTTTTCCCCAATTTTCTCCCATTCCCAATTTTTCCCCATATTTTTCCCATTTTTTGTCAGATTTTCTCCAAATTTTTTTCATATTTTCCCCATTTTTGCCCGATTTTCTCCAAGTTTTTTGCTAATTTTCCCCAATTTTTTCCCAATTTTTCCCCATTTTTTTCTCAAAAAATTTCCTTTTTCCCCCATTTTTTGCCCATTTTTCTCCATATTTTCCCCATTTTCCTCCCAATTTTTCCCCAATTTTTCCCCAATTTTTCCCCATCTTCCCCATTTTTTCCATTTAAAAAACTGAATTTTTTCTCCAAAAAATCCATTTTTTTTCTCCAAAAAATCCAATTTTTTCCCCATTTTTTCTCCGATTTTCGCTCCATTTTTTCCCATATTTTCCTCATTTTTCACCTGATTTTCTCCAAATTTTTTCATGCTTTCTCCAATTTTTCCCAGATTTTTAACCCCAAAATTCTGATTTTTCCAGGGCTACCCGGCGCACTCGTCGGCCGAGCTGAGCTCGGCGCTGGCCCCGATTTTGCCCCCATTTTTCCCCCATATTTTCCCCATTTTTCGTCCAATTTTCTCCAAATTTTCAGCAAATTTTTTTCCCTATTTTTCCCCATATTTTCCTCTTTTTTTCTCAATTTTTTCTCAAAAAAACTCCTTTTTTTTTTCTTTTTTTTCCTGATTTTCTCCAAATTTTCCCCATGTTTTGCCTGATTTTCTCCAAATTTCACCCATTTTTTCCATTTTCCCCCATTTTTCCACCAAAAAATTCAATTTTTTTCCTCATTTTTTCCCCAATTTTCCCCATATTTTCCCCATTTTTCATCCAATTTTCCCCAAATTTTTTTCCAATTTTTTCCATATTTTTTCCCCATTTTCCCCCCATTTTCCCCTTTTCCCCCTTTTTTTCCCCCAAAAATTCAAATTTTTCCTCGAAAAATTTCAAATTTTTTCTCAAAAAAATCCAATTTTTTCCTCATTCTTTCCTGATTTTTTCCCCATATTTTCCCCATTTTTCCTCCGATTTTCTCCACTTTTTTTTTCATATTTTCCCCATTTTTTCCCGATGTTCTCCAAATGATCTCCAGCCACTTTTCAGCCACTTTCCCTTTCTTTGCCCCATGTGCAGGGCTACCCGGCGCACTCGTCGGCCGAGCTGAGCTCGGCGCTGCCCCCGATGTCGTCGTTCCACCGCGGCTCCAACGCCTTCGGCTCCTCCTGCACGCCCCCGGCCAACGGCGCCGAGCCCCTGCTGGGTGAGCCGCGGTGCCGGAGAGCACTCGGGAAAGGCACGGGAAAACAGGGGAAAGGCACGGGAAATGCACGGGAAATGATTTTCTCCAAATTTCACCCATTTTTTCCATTTTCCCCCATTTTTCCACCAAAAAAATTCCATTTTTTTCCTCATTTTTTCCCAATTTTCCCCATATTTTCCCCATTTTTCATCCAATTTTCCCCAAATTTTTTTCCAATTTTTTCCATATTTTTTCCCCATTTTCCCCCCATTTTCCCCTTTTCCCCCTTTTTTTCCCCCAAAAATTCAAATTTTTCCTCGAAAAATTTCAAATTTTTTCTCAAAAAAATCCAATTTTTTCCTCATTCTTTCCTGATTTTTTCCCCATATTTTCCCCATTTTTCCTCCGATTTTCTCCACTTTTTTTTTCATATTTTCCCCATTTTTTCCCGATGTTCTCCAAATGATCTCCAGCCACTTTTCAGCCATTTTCCCTTTCTTTGCCCATGTGCAGGGCTACCCGGCGCACTCGTCGGCCGAGCTGAGCTCGGCGCTGCCCCCGATGTCGTCGTTCCACCGCGGCTCCAACGCCTTCGGCTCCTCCTGCACGCCCCCGGCCAACGGCGCCGAGCCCCTGCTGGGTGAGCCGCGGTGCCGGAGAGCACTCGGGCAAGGCACGGGAAAACAGGGGAAAGGCACGGGAAATGCACGGGAAAGGCACGGGAAGTACACGGGAAATGCACGGGAAATGCACGGGAAATGCACGGGAAATGCACGGGAAATACACGGGAAATGCACGGGAAATGCATGGGAAATACACGGGAAATGCACAGGAAATACACGGGAAATGCATGGGAAATACACGGGAAATGCACGGGAAATATACGGGAAATGCACGGGAAATGCACGGGAAATGCACGGGAAATACACGGGAAAGGCACGTGAAGTACACGGGAAATGCACGGGAAAACAGGGGAAAAGCACGGGAAATGCACGGGAAATACACGGG